CTCAGCTTCCTCGCTCAACACACCCAACGACTGACTGTGAATACTCAAGACCTTCCTCTTTCTCTTGGAAGACCATGCTCTCCACCCCCGACCTTGCTCCACAGCAGGTAAACTTGCCTTCACTTTGTGAAGAAAGTGAAAACCTCTGAGTGTGAACTGCCTCAGCTTCTCCCACCCTTTTCTTCCACACTCAGTCACACTCCCTCCCACCTTCCTGTGCTACCCCAAGACACAGAGAAAGAGGTGTCTTTCCTCTGTTCCCAGTCCGCTCTGTTGCTCACGCTGTCAATGTCTTTGTGTTCCCAGCCTCTCCGAAGGCCCTCCTCCACAGTCTGTCCTTATCTCTTCTAAGAGGCGTCCTCCTCCCCTCTTAGCCCTTTCCCCTCATCACAGCTCCGTTCCTAGTCCCCTCCTGACTGGCTCCCTCCCGCTGTTCCTCCACCCCTGCAGACGTCTCACCAAACCTTCCTGAAGATTCATATAGACGAATGCAACTTTCACACTCTCATTCCTCAATTCTCTGTAGCATCGGCTCCCTATTCTAATGAAACATTCGCTGGGTATAACTTAGAGATGCAGACCTCAGACTGAAGCAGGACTGTCTTTGACTCCTGCCTCCACCACTTACAAGGTGTGAGATCCTGAACATGCTGCTTAGTTTCTTCATTTCTAATGTGGGGATAATAATAATAACGATCTTCACAGAACTCTTGCAATATTCAATGAAATACTTTATTTAAAACACTGAGTAGTGTCTGCACATGCATGTGCTCAATAAAAATTATTACTAGCAGTAGCATTTGCATTAATGATTATTATCATTATTATTTGGCACTATGCTAGGTCTAGCTAGAAATCCTGAACTAAAAGAAATCCTACCAAATTCATGCAGCCAAGAAAAACTAGTTTCAATCTTCTTATACAGTGAGGCTTATCTCTTGGCTTAGAATCACCTTCTCCACCTTTGAATCAGGCTCTGCTCCTAGGAATTTCCTTCCATACTGATTCTGTATGACTCTGGTCAGTTCGATGTGTGTGTGTGTGTGTGTGTGCGCGTGCACACACACACACACACACAGACACAGACACAGTAAATTTATTTGTATAATGTGAACCAATAGGAAAATACTTAATTTAGCTGAACACAGGGCCTTTAACCTCTGCTGCTTTTGCAGTGACAAAAGTAGCTACACACCAATGTCCTTGTGCAGCTGGAAGTCAATAATTACTGATGAGCAGACGGTTGTATATAATGACTCAGTCCTCCTCGTGGTCAGTCACCACAAGAACAGAAGGCATATTTTTAGCATCAGGACTGAATCCTACCTGAAAACCTGGAAACTGCAATAATTTGAATCTATGTAGGCAAGGAAAGGATTATTTTGTTGTTAGTACACCAGAAATGAATTCTAAGGGTCATTTAATCCCTTGTGATTACTCACTAAGAAGTTTAGCACAGAGTGCTCATTTCCTTCCTCCATCTTCTTGCTATTCTCAGTTTTTTTGATCACAGGCTGTGGATGGCGATATTTGTTTTAATTAGGAAGACGCAGCATAGGCGAAGGCGATTGCAACAGGTGTGTTCAGTTAGGAACCAAATTGCGCAGTGAGATCTCATCTCCGTGACAAATACGGCTTCACTAAGGCATGTCATTTTGTTTGTCTAACAATTTGCTTTTTGGAACAGGCTTGGAAATTCCCATTCCCCACCCCAGCACAACTAGGTAAGGGTTGCTTTCAGGGGAGGTATCGGTATAGGGTTCAACTGGGGGGCTCCTTCTCTTGGACTGGTGGAGCCTTTCACTGCAGGGATCACAAGTCAGGATCCAGCACGCTGACCCAGTGCTTCTAGGATTCAACAGTGATGTGCATCACAAAGAAAATGCTTCCTGGTTCTTTCTCTCTCTCTCTCTCTCTTTTTTTTTTTTTTTTTTTAGATTTTTTTTTTTTTAAATGTAATCTTTATACCCAATATGGGTCTAGAACTCACAACCCTGAGATCAAGAGTTGCATACTCCCACCGACTGAGCCAGCCAGGTGCCCTATCTTTGTCTTTAACACCATTCCTCTCCTTTTCTGTCAATATTTCAAAACAAATTTTGATTCTAAAAATCTCTTTGAAATTAGATGACTAGGGGATGAAGAATTCACATGCGGAAGGCAGGACCACCAGTAGGGGTGGTGATGATGCCTAAAACAGCTAATAATTACCAAACATTTATTTGTGCGAGGCGCTATTCCAAATACTTAACATGTATTACTTCCTTTAGTCCTCACAGCTGTGAAGTGTTGGCATTATTACCCCCACTTTACATTTGAGAAAGCTGAAGCTCAGGAAAATTAAATAACTTGCCTGTGGTTGTACAACTAGTAAGATTCAAGGCGACGATTCCAACCCAGTTCTGTCAGATGCCCGAGACCATTAGTGCTATATATCATGTGTCTTAAAATAGCAACTCCTCCTTCGGTGACCTATTTTTAACCATAGTTTGTATGAAATTAGATTAAACTTGATCTTTATTATAATGTCTCCCATGGTAAATCTATGTTATTTCTATGATACGAAATTAGGTTCCCCTTTTAAAAAACAGGAAAAGGACATGAATGGCCAAATTTTTTTTAAAAAGTCAAATATTAAATTTCAGATATTTAAAAGTGAGGCGCCTGGGTGGCTCAGTGGGTTAAAGCCTCTGTCTTCGGCTCAGGTCATGATCCCAGGGTCCTGGGATCAAGCCCCGCATTGGGCTCTCTGCTCAGCAGAGATTCTGCTTCCTCCTCTCTCTCTCTCTCTGCCTCTCTGCCTCCTTGTGCTGGGAGCCTAGTTCCCCCCCCCCTCTCTCTGCCTGCCTCTCTGCCTACTTGTGATCTCTGTCAAATAAATAAATAAAATCTTAAAAAAAGAAAAACAAAACTAAAGAGACTTTGATTCAATTCAAGAAAGAGTAACCAAGTGATACATGGTGCTAGGCACTTTAAAGTATTCAAAAAATTAAGATAAGTACTGCTCCTTATCCAAGAAACTAATGATCCAGTGGGAGAAACACAGTGTAATATTTCAGTTCTTACTTCAAATATTATCTCCTAAGAGAGGTCTTCCTGGACTACTCTATCTAATCTCTTGCCCCATTTCCTGTTACCTTCTATCATAGGGGCTAGAAAACTTTTTTCCTATAAAGGGCCAGAAAATAAATAACTTAGCCTTTCTGGGCTATATGGTCTCTGTCAAAACTACCCAACTCTGCGGCTATAGCTCATAGCAGCTAGAGATCACAAATAAACAAGCATGCTGTGTTCCAATAAATCTTCATTTACAAAATGGGCAGTGGGCCTGATGGAGTTCATAGGCTGTGGTTTGCTGACCTGACTCTACTCTAACATATAACTCCGTTTTCTCTTTCATATCATTTAACAGAATCTGAAATTATCCTGCTTAGTGACTTATTATTATTATTTGCTATTTCCCTCCACAAAAATGGCAGCTCCAAAAGAGCAAGGTCTTTGCTGCTTGTTCACATCTGGCTCTCCAGGGTCTTAGAAAGGGCTTCCTGACACGTGCACAGCTCACCCTAAAGATTTGTGGACTGACTGAATGAGTGAGTACTATTTCACAAAAGGAGAAACACTGATTGCCAACAAACATATAAACTTATATTTGGCCAGATGATTAGTAAATACGAAATAACTGAAAATGTCATTTTTTTCACTTACCATACCTAGAATGGTTAGCAAAAAGGAAGGAGGAAGACAAGGAAGTGAGGGAAAAGAAGAGGAAGGGGAAGAGAAAGGAGAGGTTGGGAAGGAGAGCCCGTCTAGAGGAATACGTGGGTAAACTGGCCCTCTCATCTACTGTCAGTGAGAGAGTGTAGATCCTGGGAGAACTGAAAGCAGATGCCTCTACACTCACGTTCATAGCAGCATTATTTACAACAGCCAGAAGGGAGAAACAACTCAAATGACTACCTACAAAAGAACGGATAAATATACGTGGTACATCTGCAGAATGGGGTATTATCAAGCCTTAAGAAAGGATGAAGGAGTGACATGTGCTATAAGGATGAGCTTTGAAAACACTGAACTAAGTGGAATAAGCCAGCCATACAAGATGAGTATGCATGACTCCACTTACGTTCAGGTGTCTAGGATGGGCAAATAGTACAGTAGAAACCAAAAGTAGAATGGAGGTTACCAGGAGCTGGGGGAAGAGGAAATGGGTAGTTATTATTTAATGGATACAAAATTTCTGTTTAGAATGGTGAGAAATTCTGGAGATGGATGGTGGAGATGGTTGCACAGCATTGTGAATGTACTTAATGCCACTAAACTGTATACTTAGAGATGGTTAAAAACATAAAGTTTATATTATGTATATCCTACCATAATAAACACGTATATATACTTTTTTACTCCAAAAACATACTCATAAGAAATAACTATGAGGAGATGATACAGAAGGGTGAAATATGTATATGCTAGAATCCATCAACCTCAAGATCCTTGAATAAAAATCTAGTTGTATAAATAGAGCCTGACAACAAATATACAAAAGGGACCATTATGCTATCATATAGGCATTAAACATGACAAGGTAGACTTTTCACATAAAAATATCTCCATAACACTACTGTTAAATAAAAAAAATCAAGCTATAGAATGCATGTACAGTAATAATTCCATTGATGTAAAAATTCTAATGTTTATTTATATGTGGAAAAAATTTGAGATATTCTCTAAAATGCCCATAGTTGGTTATTCTCTGAATAGCAGAGTTGAGATGATCTCAAAATTATCCTCTTTATAATTCTCTGTACTTGATTTTTTAACAAAGAATATTTTTAACCAAAACAACATGCTATTATAAACTCCTGTTTATCACTTTTTCACATTAATTAAGGAGGGTTAGGCCCTTGATACTTTCATAATACATGTTTTCTGTATTTCTGTTTCCATAGCAACAATAATACTTGTGAGAGAATGAGATACATTTTCAAAAAGATACATACCTCAGACAATGGTCTTATATCTCCATCAGTCAAAAACAGATTTATTATTTCAGAGCAACATTCAATAATCATGTTCTAGAAATAAGAAGACAATAAAGTGAGGTTGAAATTACTGGTAAACTACTAGATATTTTAGTTATGAACTATTTCATTTGCCTTTTCTTGCATCACCACCTAACCCTAATTCCCAGGAGAAAACTAAGACTCATAGGTCACAATCCCTTATATAATTAAAATTATTTGAAAAGACACAGGATGGCCACAATAGATAAGATTTACTTAAGAATGATACATTATTTCATTGTTAAAATTCATATGTTACAGAATTCACACCAGAATAAAGTTTTAGAAAATCACTTTTCTTCTGAGAAGAGAACCTGGGGATAAAGAGATTCAAACCCCAGAAAGGGATTTTAGCAGAGAAGAATGGTTAAGAATTGAGAAAGAAACAGAGAGAGTAAATGAAAAGGAACCAAGGGTCTGTATCATACATTGTCCGTTGCTGGTGACACTGCCACACACCCTACTGTGTGGACACAGCCATGTTTATGTGTAGACCTCTGACCCCAGATGGACCTACTCATGGGCAGGGATGAGTCAATCAGGTTCTCTATTATCATAATTTCATAGAAGGAAGGGCAAGAGAAGAGAGCTATAGTGAGTACTAACTATAGTAGCTGAAGGTCCTGACACAAACATGGAAAAGGCAGCCATTGGGCTAGATGTAAGATGAGTAAGAGAAGGAAACAGATGTGTGAGAACTTACACACACACACACACACACACACACACACACACCCATAATTAAGCATAGTCTTGGCTCCAGACTCACCAGTTCCATTTTCTGTGAGGCACATTGTGTTTGGTTTCCAGTCCCTATGTATGAGCTTACTTATTGTACCCTGCCACATACTGCCTTCCACCACACCTACTTTACTTGAACTAGTGTAAGTAGCCTTCCTTTACTTATAGCTAAAGGAGTCATGACTACAAGACTGTCAGAGATAAACTCTGCCTACTTTGTAAAGTTGCCAGTGTCCAGCAACAATTCACTTTTGATTAATATACATGTGTATACTTGTTGTTTAATATACATGTGTACCAGCATTCAGAAATATGAAAACGATATAAAGTTACACTAATTTTTAAATTATGATTGACCAATGCTGATTAAAACCTTAAAATACAGAAGCAAACAACTAAATTCACAGCCCCAAACCATATTATATTTAAGTTTTAATAAATACTTGACCATAGAAAAGATCACATTTTAGAGTTCTAAAGCTATTGCAAATTCAATTCAATTTAACAAATAAATTCAAGATGCTGTGGAACACAAAGATGAAGAAACAGACCCTATCCTCACAAAGTGTTCAATAGCTGAGAAGAATAGATTCGTATACTCCTAAGTAAAATACCAAGTAGAACATAGTCAGAACATGGGTAGGAATAGGTTAGAGGAAACTGAATGTGGGAGAGGAATTGTAAGGAACAGGAAAGACTTCTTGGAGGAAGGGTCATGTGAACTGAGCCTTGAATGAATAGTAGGATTTCACTGGCGGAGAATGGGGACAAGAACATTCCAGATGGAGGGAGCCATGTGAGCAACAGAACAGTGGATATTCAAGAACACAAAGCATCTGCTATGGTCTTCACTGTGGGCATGTATAGGAAGCATGGCAGTGAGAGTGATGAGAAATAAGGCTGGAGAGGTGAACTTAGAACATGTAAAAGTAAGGAATTTTAGAGGCACTGGCCTGAGGAAATCATGATCTGATCACTTTAAAAAAGATACTTCTGGCCACAGTTTAAAGGTGAACTGGACTCAGAAAGAAACAAGAGAAAGAGAAATTAGCTACGAGGCTACTCAAACTGTTTGGGCAGAAAACGACCATGGCGAGAAGTGGGCCAGCTTCAGTGGGACCAAAAAAGGTGCTGGGCAAGCAGGATATCCAGAACTGAGCAGGGTATACTACTTGGCAGTGATGAACCTTCCAGGCTCTTGGTCTATTAAGACAGAGAGGATACTCCTCTGAACACTGATACTCCTCTTCTTTATCTATATTTCTATACTTCTAATTGAGTTCTCAGGCCTGATTGTACTCTGATACTCCTCTTATTTATCTATATTTCCATATTTCTAACTGAGTTCTCAGGACTGGTCAAAGTAGGTTTCCTCCCTATAGGGAAGGTTTCAGTAACAGCCATGACGTGTTACTGTCGTGATTTCATCAAGAGCTATCAAACAAAATGAGGCTGTCTATATCATTAATCATTTCACATAACAGATGAAGACAGCAATGTTACCTGATAAATAATTGCCTTCTGCTCCCTGTCTCAACATTTATCGAGCAGAAATTTCACCTCAACAACATCCTATTTCTTTGGCATTATTTGTAGTAAACCATTACAAACATCAGAAGTTGGCTGATTGGATGCTGGGCTACCACAGAAATGTAGCCTTGAACTTGTCACACCAGGCAGAGAACTGCCAGAGGTATACTGTGCGTGGCTGGCAAGGCACTGAGAGAGCAAAGAATGACCCTTGTTCAATCTTTGCCATTTTTCCCTTAAAAAGGAGCATCTGATGATTCTATGATGGTTTTCCGAGTTACTTCAAAAATAACCATGCTGATTCTTTGACTTAGTTGAAATCCTCATCTTCTTTCACTTATGGGAAGAAAAATTCCTAAATTGTTTTCCATCCTCTAAACTCTTGCTTTCCTCATTCCTCCTCCACATGCCACCAAGGTAATCTCAGCAAATCATAGGGTGGGTTATGAGAAGTCCTTCCAGGTGCTGCCCCCTCCCTCTCCTACCACCCTTCCCCACCCTTCCCTTTTCCTAGCCCTTGCTTACAGAACCAAGTTCACTCACCATTTTTTCATTCAACACCTACTGTATGCATCCTAGGTGCCATAAGCTAGTAATGAAAAGACAGAAAGAGAGTCCTTAAGCAGTTGATTTATGGTCTAGTGGGGAGAAAAGTAGAGAGGGACTCTTAACAGTACCATGTGGTGAATCAGAGAGGAGGAAGCACTTCATTCCACCCATGTCTTCCCATCTCCCACTGGATTCACCCTGTTCTCCCACCACAACAGACACAACATTGTCCTGAGTAGAACATTCGGTCCCTGACTTTATATTCCTTCTCTTGTTCTATCCTCAGTCGGCTCTGAGTGCCCTTCAGCCGGAAGGAAGTAATAGAGAAGCACTGTGTGTCAGGGCTGTGTGTTACTGGGGTAGATATTGGATATAAGATGATGAATAAGACCCCCAGCAAAGGAATTTGCAGTAAAGACAGAGGAAGAGACATATAAACATGTAAAAGCCAAAACAATACAGTACCGGTACAGGGTATTTTGGGTTATTTCGTCAGAGGGCCACATGTGGATGTCAGAGAGATACTAAAGAACACCACAGTTGGGGGAAAAGATTTAAGAGAAATTTTGCTATGCATTATGAAAGGATTCCCTCTCAAATGTTCTTATGAGAGACTCCACAAAGATTTAGATTATTTTCAATGGTTTTGAACATCAGATTGATGTTTCTTTGAATGCCACATTTTGCTAAAAGAGGACCACCAGGTGGCTGGGCGCATTATGAATGACATCTAGGTACTTACAGCCAGACCCATACAATGATTAAGCTCCTCCATGACAAAGACCTACTTGTACGGATTTCTGTATGCTCTTATTTCCTCCCCAAGCCTGGAAAAATTTTTGCACATAATAGTTCCTCAAAAAGAATTTGTTAATTGATGCTAATGTGCAATGTATTTTTTTTCTGTTTTCATAGTCCTTTGATATTTGAGATATGTTGACTATAATTTTTTTTTAAATTTTATTTTGGGTGCTGGGGCAGAGGTAGAGAGAGACAGAAAATCTTACGCAGGCTCCATGCCCAGTGCAGAGCACAACATGGGGCTTGATCTCACAACCCTGAGATCAACACCTGAGCTGAAATCAACAGTCTGACGCTTAAATGACAGAGCCACACAGGCACCCTGACTATATACAAATTTTAATTGCCTTGTACAGTCCAGGCATCCCATAAATGTTTGCTGAACTAACCTGAGGTGAATTGGTAAACATATGTTAGGCTTTTCATATCAGTATGCTATCATTCCAAATAAGGTGTTTGTCTCTTAAAGTCAGGATGGTTTACATCTTTCGTATGCTTTCAAATCCCTGGTAAGCTCTGAAGATAACCCTAAAGCTACAACTGACAGATTAAAATAACTCAGTCATTCTGAGCCAGTGTTGTTCATTTTAGAAGGACATACACAGTTTTCAAGCCAGAACTGATTAGAACACCCGTTGTGTAGCCCTCTCAATACATCTCATACTAATATCTGTGTTCTGAATTTCTTAGCTTATTCCAGACTATAGGCTTTGGTGGGAGGTTGGGGGTGGTAAAAAAGGGAAAGGAATAAGAAAGAGAGTAAGATTCATTATCCCCCATATCAACCAAAGGCACATTTTCTGGGCCCTTCTATTTAATAACTCACCAAAAATCTATACTGTGATAGAAATAAATATAATAGATTATAGAGGTTATGAAATCCTATCCAGTTCCAGACCAGAATCAATCTCTTCAAGTGTCCTAGTTAACTTCCAATTAGCACCAAGTGAAGGTTGTCATGACAACGAACTGGCAGATTTAGTGAATGGGATTTGTTATAACACGGAATATAGCTGCCTTTTTTTTTTTTTTTTAAGTTCCAGCTGACATACTGGAAAAAGAGAAAACTTTATATGTTCCTTCTACTTCTCAGCTTTTCAAATGTTCTGAACTACTCTGTTTGCCAATTCACCTAAACAAATATTGGTTTGTCTTCCATTTGATGACATTCTCTTATACATAGAACCAACAGAACTAAAACATACCTAAAAATGCCCTACTTAAAGCTGAAGAAACATTTTCTAAGTCGAAGAATAAGACAAATTCAAAGATTGAGCAGAGAACATCAGGACTGAAAGCCATTCTGTTTTACTCAAGGACTGATTCACTCACATATACCATTCCAATTAGGACATGAAAGCAAGCCACAAACCTTGGTTAAGGCAAGGTAGGGTCTCTGGATTCCTCCCTCTGCTTACATTCAAATGCTGCCCCACACCCCCATTTATTTCATATTGTTTATGTTCATAGTCAACCCCTTGACTGAGACATTGGGCTGATTGTGATAAATTTGATAGACACAAGGGGCCCACAGGGAATTTCTGATGACTCACATTCCAACCAAGGGACACAACTCTCCATCTCAGAGCACTATTTTAGTGAAATGATCATATTTTAGAGATGAGATGAAAATAAGTCCCTGAAAAGTGACTGACCCTAGGTAGAAAACTGAGTGGTAGAGCAAAACCTAGACTCCCTGCTTTCACGGACGCTCACTCTCCTGCCTCAGACAATCTAAGCTGAGAAAACAAATGGTTTCAGGAGAAAATAATCATTTTCCATATATGAACTATATAGAAGTGGATTCAGGGACAATTTCAGCAAAGAATATTCTAGACTATGGCTCTGATATGTTTGGTCTACAACTGAAAAACTGTGATTATTAAGTGATCTACAAAAGAAGTACAAAAATGATGCCAGAGCTGAGTTCTTTTTAAAAACAGATATAGGGGCGCCTGGGTGGCTTAGTGGTTAAAGCCTCTGCCTTCGGCTCAGGTCATGGTCTCAGGGTCCTGGGATCAAGCCCCGCATCGGGCTCTCTGCTCAGTGGGGAGCCTGCTTCCCCCTCTCTCTCTGCCTGCCTCTCTGCCTACTTGTGATCTGTCTGTCAAAAAAAAAAATCTTTTAAAAACAGATATAAAAGGGCAACCATACACTTTATAAAAATATGTATGTTATATTATTATTTTCTAATATATATAACCTCATGGGTTTGAGATATTTGATCTACTAGGAAATTTCATGCTCAGTATTTAGTATTCAGTATATCAGTAATATCATGAAACATCTGGTAATTCATATTATAACATACAAAGATACTGAAACAATTTGGGGATGTACAACCCAAAACCTAAGATATCAGTTCTATCATCAATCCAAGCACACAACAGAGGAGATATAAGTATGGGAAAGTGGCATTCTGCAAAGGCTAACTGTTCTTGCCTGATGAATCCTCGTAAAGCTGGGCTTGTTGCTTTCACAATAAGGAAAAATGCATTCACTCACTCTACTGGTAAATTCAGACTCAAAATGCAAATAAGTATACTCTGAAAATGAGGAGAGTTGCCAACTTTTATGCCTTCACATGAGTGCATAGATGAGGAAAACAATAAAAAAGGGCTAAAGCTACACCCGAAACTAACATAACAACTATAATTCAATAAAAAGAAAAGGTTAAAATGGTAAAAAAAAAAAAAATTAGAAAAAAGACAAAAAAAGAACTATATCAATACTACTCTTTAAGAAGTAAAAATGTTTTATTATTGGTAATAGACTATTAACCTAGCAAAAAGTGGTTTAAGGAAAAAGATACAGCAAACCAAATATGAAGGGAAGATCCTAAAAGCTTACAGAGAGGAAAAACAGAGCCAGGCCCCAACTGGCTGGGATTTCAACCAGGAAAGCAACAAAGGGAGGTCCCAGAATTAGAGCTGTGTGGCAGGCACTGGGGCCAGGCAGTCCTCAGTTAAGCAGAAGAAATAAAGGAACTGAGACATTATTTGATGAGCATGAACACTTGGATAAGAAATCTGTGGGTGGGGGCGCCTGGGTGGCTCAGTGGGTTAAAGCCTCTGCTTTCGGCTCGGGTCATGGTCCCAGGGTCCTGGGATCGAGCCCCGCGTCGGGCTCTCTGCTGAGCGGGGAGCCTGCTTCCTCCTCTCTCTCTGCCTCCCTCTGCCTGCTTGTGATCTCTGTCAAATGGATGGGTGAAATCTTAAAAAAAAAAAAAAAAAAAAAAGAAATCTGTGGGTGAACATATGAAAATTCTGATGAAATGATCAGAAGAAAGTTAAGGAAAAAAAAACAAGTCAAGAAGAATCAAAGCTTACACAAGAAGAAAATGACCTTAGTAGGCTATTTGACTTGGCTGTAAGTAATGTAAATACTTGAATATTGATTTAACCAAAATCTGTAAATATAACAATACTCAGGAATGGGGAAAGGAGAAGTTGGGGAGAAGAATAAGTGAATTAAATCCTTGTATACCATAATAAAATCAACAGATATATCTGAAATTGATACATCAAAGAAAAAAGAATAATTATTTTAGCTTTTAGCATCGTTCATCAATATTTCTGGCTTTCCTCCTTCCAAGCCATAGCATGTGACTTATTTGGCCAACGAAATATAATGGAAGTGATATGACAGAAGCCTTCAGAGCCAGTGTGTGATTTTCCCCCTTTCTTCCCTCCTGCTACTGTGACCAGTGATATTTCACAGATTAATGTATTACGAGCCTGGATGTTGGCCTGAGGAGACATGGAGCAGGGCCTCAATTGGCCCACTTGGATCTGAAGGCTGTTTGTTGCCTCATTTTTCATGAGTGATCCTACATATTACTAAATACATGGAAGTAGATAACTAGAAACAGCTGAAAGAGCTGAAAAGGGTTGCCTCTGCAGAGCAGGACTGTGGAGTAAGGAGAGGTTGGGTAGGAGATTGTCCCTTTTCAGTAAGTCTTGCAGAGCTGCCTGATTTTAAAAATGGCCACAATAATTACAGAATCTATAACTCAAGAAATCGGATTAATGTGTGAATGGGAATTCAAAGAGCAAGTGATTAGGGGAGAACAAATATTTTTCTGTTCCTCTCATTTCCAAATAGGGTAAGAATTGCCACTCCACTCCAGAAGGAGACTTCTAGCTTCTTTCAGACTTGTAGCTAATTAACTGCCAGAAAAGTAGACGGACTTATCTGACTGGTAAGTTTGGAAAAAGCAAAAGATCATGGTAGGTTCAGCCCCTTCTGGGCAATCTTTGCTTCTATTTTTGGAGGCAGCCAGCATGTAGAACTGTTGGTCTCAGCTTCTATGTGCAGTGAGTTTGGTGGGGATGGAACGGTAGTGGGGAATCCTATGGTTGTACCTGTGTGACTAGGTGGGCAAGTCTGGCTCATTCAGGGATGAGATACTACTAAGCTCGTTTGGTAAAAGACCTAAAGCCATGTTTGCTAATCAGTCAGTTTTATCAGTTAATTCTGCTGATATTTTGATCTCCACTATCCAACTCCTACATTTCATTCCTCAGCCGGGTTCAGAACTTAGGAAGGGTAAAAGAGAAATTACCCTCTGGGGCACCTGGGTGGCTCAGTGGGTTAAGGCCTCTGCCTTCGGCTCAGGTCATGATGCCAGAGTCCTGGGATCGAGTCTCACATCAGGCTCTCTGCTCAGCGGGCAGCCTGCTTCCCTTCCTCTCTCTCTCTGCCTACTTGTGATCTTTGTCAAATAAATAAATAAGATCTTAAAAAAAAGAAGAAACTACCCTCTTCTCCAAACATAGTCTATCAATCCACCACAGAAACCACTCAACTATGTGATCAAATTAATAATACACCATTAAGTTGTGCAACCTCTTTTGTTGTTGTTCAAAAAATACATATGCACAGAAAAGTTTGGAAAAATATATGCTTATCTGTATTTCCTAGTTTTTCTTCACACATTTCTTGAGTGATAAAAATGTTCAAACAATAGACTTAAGAATGAAGAATAAAAGAATAATATAAAGTTACAGAGCATTGTTTCTTGATATTCACAGTGATATGTGGATGATTTCTCTAGATTGCCTTTGTATTCATTCACATCAGATTCTTTTTTTTTTATTAACATATAATGTATTATTTGCCCCAGGGGTACAGGTCTGTGAATCATCAGGCTTACACATTTCACAGCACTCACCATAGCACATACCCTCCCCAATGTCCATAACCCCACCCCCCTCTCCCACCCTCCTTCTCACTATCAGATTCTTATAATTGGTAAGTTTAGAAGAGCTTTGAAGGAAACACTACCTATGTATCCAAAAAAGTTGGATCATTTCTGATACTCTAAAGAGAGAAAATAGAGAACAGAAGAACCACAAAGTTCAAGTTTAGTTAAATCATGTAAATAATTAGGTAAAATGACACCCATGCTGCAACGGCAGTACAATTTCCCAAAATAACTTACTTCCATTTCCTTATCAATTGATTTCTCTTCCATTTCTTGCATTTCAGACACATTGTCATCTGAAGCAATTTCAGGAGTTGCTGGCAATGATATTTCAGCTATTTGCTTAAGATTGGATAGTTTCCCATGAATTGAAATAACTCTAAAAATAACAGATAGATATGTATTTTACTTGAAAATGTAAGAAAGGCATTCGTTTATTTCCAGAATCAATAATTTATATAAAGTAAATCCAAAGTTATTTAACACCTGGATTTCTGGCATCCCCAAACATCATTCATTCAATCATTTGTTCATTTAGGAAACATGAGCAAAGAGACACAATTCTAACCTGTATAAGGTTTATGATCTAGTTATGTATTCAAACAGATATAAAATGACTGGCAAAGGCACAAAACCGAAAAAGGCACACATCCAAAATATTGATTAAGATGAAAACAAAGAAAATAAAACATCTACGTAGGCAAGGAAAGTCCAGGCAATGATAAAAGGTTTGCTCCTGTGTAAATCTTGATGCCATGCTATGACTGCCTTGCTGACTTGAAGGTAAGAATTAAGGCCAGTCAATGAGCCTACAACAATGAAATGTATTGTAGGTGGGAGAGTGGAAGGGTAGGGAGAAGAATCAAGAAAGAAGGAAAATCAAAAACCAAGAAGGAAGGTAGAGGACACAGTGGCTATTATATTAAAGATGGGAAGCTTCTGGAGCCACAGACCAGCGAACAGGGGGTACTCTGAAGGCAGAGGTAAACTGACAGATGAGTGGAGTCAGGAGATGCAAAAGCATTTGAAGCAGTTGAAGGAGGCAAAGAGCTACCTGGATGGCCTTGGTGATTCGAGGCTACAGGCCTAGCACATGTGTGCGTGTGTGTGTGTGTGTGTGCGCACGCGTGCAGTCATGTTGGTGTCTCCATCCAGGGAAGGAGGGTAACTTTTATGAGAAACACATAAATGATCCATAAAAGCAAACCGACATCAGGAATGTATGCAGGAATGTAAATTTTCTGATATTCCACAAAGTCCTCATCCACACTATGGTATAATACTTGATATCATAATGATGGTTCTCAGCAAAAGAAGGTTAAATATTATCTTTAATTAAATAAGAAGACCTGAAATTGTATGTTTAAGCAACTCTTCTACATGGGGCACCTGGGTGACTCTGTGGATTAAGCCTCTGCCTTTGGCTCAGGTCATGATCTCAGGGTCCTGGAATCAAGCCCCGCATCAGGCTCTCTGCTTGGCAGGGATCCTGGGATCAAACCCCACCCCCCTCTCTGCCTGCCTCTCTGCCTACTTGTGATCTCTGTCTGTCAAATAAAATATATATATATATGCAAAATTATTTAAAAATTTAAAAAAGAAACTCTTCTATTAAAAAGGCAATGATTAATATGTAAAGGTCTATTATTGAAAGTTTACTTGGAATACATCCATTTTAAAAAACGGTATTCTCCAATAGTGCTAGAAAAGCTACTTGATGCATTGGAGAGAGGATAGGACTCAAAGGACCTGGGTGAATCATGGGTAGTTCCATCACACACCAGCATGGAACCCTCGACAAGTCACCTAACCTCTCTGGCCCTGATATGCCTCTTACTGCAAGACTGAATGATAAAACCCAGGTCATCTACTTCACAGCATTGTGTAAGGATGAAATGATGTAACTACATACATTCTTAACCACAAGAAACCAGGTGAAGGACAGATGACATTCTAACATACCATTCTTCACTCTAATACCCAGAGAAAGAATTCTTAGAATTCTTATTTCTCTTTCAAAAATAACAGAGCCTTCCTTTCTAATACATGGAATTGCAGGAAGGATAAAGTATTCTTTGATGTTCAGGTTGTCAATAATGTCCAGAGCTGTACTCTCTGCTTCAAAAATAAATGGCCTGGTCCAACTCTGTAAAAAGCAGGCTGAGGGGCGCCCGGGTCGGGTCATGATCCCAGGGTCCTGGGATCAAGCCCCGCATCGGGCTCTCTGCTCAGCAGGGATTCTGCTTCCTCCTCTCTCTCTCTCTGCCTCTCTGCCTCCTTGTGATCTCTGTCTGTCAAATAAATAAATAAATATTAAAAAAAAAAAAAAAAAAAAAGGCAGGCTGACACCAAGCTGAGCAGGCTGGGCGCCTGTGCAAGAAGCAACATCAGAAGATCTAGCATCTCTGCTTCAGGCCCTGAGCCTCATAACGCCATTTGCCCCAACATTTTGCCCATTATACATCTTCACCTCTTTGTCCACATCAATGCTGGGTCCAGGTTTTGAACTTCTATGATGGCCCACAAACAAATATCCATCATCCCATTTGGGCTAGACCAGCTCCCCACAGCCTGTGCTCTCATTTACCGATTCATGCGCACTCACTCTCCTGGGCTGGTGGGGCCCGGAGACAGGACCCAGCCAGAAGTAGAAATGTGGACGGCAGGAGACTTGATGGCAGAGACGGTAGGGAGGCAACTGGATCTTGGTTAGAAGAGCGTAATTAGCTAGAACTACACAGAAACCTTTATGCGTGTTTAATGAGAACACTTTCTTTTCCTTTGCTGCCATAAGAAAAATGCAAAGAATTAAAATGTGTTTTCTTCGTGAGTATTTAATTTGGAGATGAGGAAGTGAAATGAACAACTAAAGGAAGAATGCCCAATTTGAAAAGCTCTTCAGGTTCCTTCTCTAGCCTATTTTTTCTGACCTGTTGTACTCTTACTTTGCCTTCTGAAAGATGGTCAACAAGGGCAATCCTCACATACTGATCTCACCTTGACCCTCCTAAGAACACAAGGAATGCCAGCCTAGGTGAGAGAAACAGGCAGCTTTCCCTGCACCACTGAGGGACAGGTTAGATGAGAGATTGTCAGGAATCTCCCTCTGTTCTGGCCTCAGTGACTGGTGCACATCCCTAATTTTAGTAAACCTACCACTGCTCGTAAACACATCCAAATTAGGAACTTTTTGGCATAAAAAAGAATTCTGTCAGTTTGATTACATTCTACTCTGCAGAAATTATAATCATTTTCATTACGTGATTCTAAAAAATAAAAAATCCTGCCATGTTTCTGGATACAAAGCAAGTGTATAATTTCCCCACTTTGTTACTTAGCTGGGCTGGTGTAGGTCCTATGTCTAGATTTTCTGCCATTTCACTGGGGAAAAAAAGGAAAAAAGAAAACAGAAAATTGACTGAATAATTGAAAATATGCCAGTTCTTGAAACATCTCTTGTTTTATTCTCTTTTATGGTGAGGCCAAGAAGTCCTTCAAAATGAAAATCATGGAGCATGAACAAGCCTCGTCAGGGAAGAGCAGAGAAGCACCAAGTGTCTGTTCACTAAGCACTTACGAGGCACCTAGCAGGGCACCGACACTGACAGACACAGTGGTTAGTCATGAGACTTGACATCTGCCCGGTGCTTTTGGCCTTTTAGAGTATGTGCGTACATTGTCCGGCTTGATCTTAACAACAGCCCTGAGAGGCAGGCGGAGTAGATATTATTTCCATTTTACAACTGAGGATATGGGGGCTGAGTTCAAAGAGCAATGAACAATGGAAATCAAAACTAAATGAACTACACAATGAAAAAATTTTAAAAATGAACTATGAACTTGGTAAAGTGAAGCAGGAAAAGACAGAAACCAGGCATGAGCAAAAAAAAATTAGAAATATGCCCCGTTCGATGGAAAGGAAGGAAGACAACCCAGCTGAGGCAGAGACTGTTGACATGGGGAACAATATAAAATAGGATCGGACACAGGGGACAGGTGAGACAGGGAGGTGATAGAGCCTGTGCTTAAATTGCAACCCAATACAGAGCCACATGTTATTTGTTAAATACACCCCAAATTACAGGCAAAATACAGTATAGACAATATCCTCATACTCTTTATAATCTTTAGGAAATATCAGGAACTGTTTATCCAACAATTCTAAGTACTATTATTATTCTTACAGCCACTTCATCGATAGGGAGACTGAGGCGCAGAGAGGTTAAGTAACCTGTACAAAGTTAGTAAAGGGCATGAATGGCATTTGAACCAAAGCGGGCTAGCTTCAGAGTTCATGCTCTTAACCACTGCAGTATCATACCCCTCTAAATAAAAGGAAGATTCTGCTAAAGAACTCTTCTAAAACTTCTCCTGTGATTTACCTTGCACATTACTAAAACAACCTGTTCCAAAGAAAATATCAGCAGAGTTGTGGAAAATTATTCATTACTTGCCTGTTCAGTGGAACCCAGAAAGAGCCAATAGAGACATTGCAATAAGAGCTATTAGGTACAGCATCTGAAATATTCCGGGGCTTCATGTTATAGGCATACAACAATAAAACCTATAAAAAATTAAAAGACATAAAATGTGACATCAAAACTACATCTGCCTCAAAATAATATCATTAAATTTTTAGAAGTTTTCCTCTGAAAGTGAAAACAACTTTTTTAAATTTTTTTTATTATTTTATTTTTTATTTTCAGCATAACAGTATTCATTGTTTTTGCATCACACCCAGTGTTCCCTGCAATCCATGCCCTCTCTAATACCCACCACCTGGTTCCCCGCCCCTTCAAAACCCTCAGATTGTTTTTCAACTTTTTTTCTCAATTCACCTTAAATAATTTTTTTAAGCCAGGTCCATACCCAATGTGGGGCTTGGACTGAGCCAGCCAGGTGCCCCTTGTTTCTTTTTTTTTTAATTTAATTTAATTTTTTTTAAAGAGGATTGATGCAAGTGAGAATTATACAAAGTTTGAGGTGAAAATAAACATCATCTGATGTTAAACATCATTTTTAAAGAGTCACATTTTTTTTTACTACAATTAAGTTTAAATCTCAGCCTTTGAAGGCCCTCTATAAGTTTGAAATATGTACTTAGTGCATATCCAACCTTGTTTCTAGTTACTTCTCAACATGCCCCTTTTCTACCTGTGGTCACAGCTGCTCCATGCCTCACTTATGCTTCTTTCTTCCTCTTTCCATTTCTTCAACCTACATACAACTTTCTGGTCCCCACCTCTAATGTAGAATTTATCCTAATGGCTCATGCTCTGGTAATTTCCCTGTTGTTTCCACCTTGACAATCCTTAAAGTCAATTCCATAATTAATAGCATCTGTTTATGGTCATAGTCACAGAATTCGAGATTCATAGAACCTTAGAGAGGATCTGGTCTAAATCCCTCATTTTAGGGGCGCCTGGGTGGCTCAGTGGGTTAAGCCTCTGCCTTCGGCTCGGGTCATGATCTCAGGGTCCTGGGATCGAGCCCCACGTTGGGCTCTCTGCTCAGCAGGGAGCCTGCTCCTCCCCATCCCCCCGTCTCTGCCTGCCTCTCTATCTACTTGTGATCTCTCTGTCAAATAAATAAATAAATAAATAAAATCTTAAATCCCTCATTTTAAATATAAGAAAGCTAAAGCCCAGAGCTGGCAGTCAAAACTGACTAAGTGTAGGCATTTATCCCTGCTTCTTTGATAATCAAACTAACTAAAATAAGAGTAAAGTGCGTCTTTAAAAAGGCATAAATCTACAAAGACAGATAAGAAGAGAGGAGGTAAAGCAGACAAGAAATGTTAGCAACACATTGAAAGACAGAAGGTACTCAGAAGAGCACTGGGTGACCCTGAAAAGGAAAGGCTATGTCCTGCCTTTGGAGGGGTTGCCAAGTGTGATGAGTGCCCTGGAAAGGCTTGGGAACTGGAGATGCCAGGTATCTTAGACAACCTCCCTCTCATCCCTTCAATGAGCCCATGCAACCAGATTTCCCCACTTTCTTTGCCTTGTCTGTGGCCAAACTTCTTCCATTTTCCTCTCTGCTGAGACCAAATCAGAGATCTATTCTCAGGGTCATTAGGAACAGGGGTGAGATGCTGAACTGAAAACACTGGAGGAGGTGTCTGGGTGGCTCAGTCAGTTAAGCATCCAATTCTTGCTTTCAGCTCAGGTCATGATCTTATGGTTGTGGGATGGAGCCCTGCATCAGGCTCCACACTCAGCAGGGAGTCTGCTTCAGGATTCTCTCCCTTTGTCCCTCCCCCCACTCACATGAGCAGTCTCTAAAATAAATAAATATATCTTAAAGGGAAAAAAAGGAAACATAGGAATTAAGTGAAAGACTGTATTCTAAACAAGAAATATCCCCTACCCCACTACAGGCCCTGCCCCAGATGTAGGAAACCAGACAGTGGTTGAAAAGGATCCTTTTTGAGGAAACTGACCAGACAAAGAGAAAAGACCCATGGGTACTGACATTTCAGAATCCTGCAATGAAACCTCTGGCTCCTGCAGTTACCCTACAATGAGGTCTACAAATCAATAGGTCTGACCTGATACACTTTTTAGCACCTTCAAACATGAATGAATAGCCAAGGGTCACCAGACATGAAATGAAAGGTAGAGGCCAAAACTAATATAAGAAAGGATTTTGAAGAGTCAGGTACAGAGAGCAGAAGAGAACTTCAATGAAACCATAATTGAGATCTTCAAACAGAATAAGACTATATTTCATCTGTGAATCAAGAGCACAGTGCTGTCAAAATGAACAGAAAAAACAAAGAGCTCTTAAAAACTAAAAAAATATGATCACAACTAAACAATCAACAAAAGAGTTGAAATATAAAGTTGAATATATATCTCCCCAAAAGTACATCTTAATTTTAAAACATAGGTAACAGGGGAAAAAAGATGAGAAAAATACTCAATCTAATAAATTCAAAATCTGAATAATAATTCTAGAAGGTATAGAGATAACCAAAGGGAGGAAATTATCAAAGAAAAAAATTCTTCTTGAACTAAAGGCTAGATTGAAATTTCAATTTCCAGATTGAAAGGGGCTGTGTGGATGAAAGAGTTAAACCAAGGATCATCATGGAATTTGAGAACACAGGGGACTGAAGGAAAATCCCCAGAGCTTCCAGAGGGAAAAAAAAAAAATCAAAAGAAAGAACTAGGAATCAGAATAGGACCACACTTAATAGCAATGAAGGATTGCTAGAGACAATGGAGCAATGTTTCCCATGTTTTGAGGGAAAATAATTTTCAAACTAGAATTGTATGCCTAGAGAACAATGAAGTAAGCCTTAAAATGATGACTTTTTGTCAGACAGTCAAGGTCTCTTTATATTCTGTGTAAGCACAGGGTCAATCTCAGTCAATCTGTTGCAACCTGTTAGCATCTCAGGGGACTGTAGTCATGGTATTGGCCCTTGGCCAAACCTGAATGAAATGTACTACCTACTGACTAATGCAGCCCTGTCCTTGGTTCTGAAACACACTAGATGGCAGGCTGTGCCGTCTTGTCAGCATTTTTTTTTTTTTTGTAGAAAATATACATATTGATGAATTGCATCTGGATTCTACTGTTCTCTTCTTTTCTATCATTGAATCTGGCCCCACATGTGGTATGGACTATATGAACAGAGAGGTATGAAAGACTCCTCTTCAGATGAGACATCTGCTTTCTTGAGACCAAGATATCTTATATTTTGGTGGCTCATGATCTGTAGATGAAGTGTGTTCTGTGCAACTGAGCAATGACCCTGGCAACTGTTCCTGAGCATCTTGGCTCTCTCTAATGGTTATCTGTATTTACTTTATCCTGCCATTCCTTATCCTTTACCAAAATCTTCCTTGAACTACTTTGTGGATATGGTGTGTTCTTTGAATAATCAGAACCTCCAACACACTCTTTGTTGGGAAGCTGGAAGATGTGTTTATTCAACATGAGAGAGCAAGTCAAGATAGAGAGAAACATGGGACCCAGGGATTCCATCTCAGAAAGAGATAAAGGAATGCTCAGGAGGATGGTGAATGGGCTCTTATGATGCTATCTGATTCGGGAGAGCAATCCGTCTGGTTTGGATCATGTCTCTGAAGAAGACAATAAAAGAATGAGAAATAAACTGATGGGTTTGACCATATGGAGAAGAACTGTACAGCTTTTTTAAAGTTTAGGGAAAATGAGATATTCTAGAATACAGAGAAACATGAAGTCAAACAAAAATAAAGCAGGTGTTTTTTTTCTTTAGAAGTCAGGAAGTAAGGAAATAGGACCTTATTTGGTTCAGCTGTGAGTGATATTTACACAGTTGTGAATACCAGCTATGGGTTTAAGAATTATGATAGAACTCCTTTAAGAGAATGTGTGGAAAGGAAGAATGTACGTGAGGGGAAAAAAAACAGGTTGATATTTGCCTTCTTCTTCCACAGCAGTGTGTGAGGTGAGGTTCATCACTCAAAGAATTATCATGTGAGAATATAATTTAGATATATGGGGGGGAGGGGAACCCAACCAAACAGAGACAGCTGAGAGTTAAAAGTAATTGTATCTAATGCTGGAATTCTGGGATGTGGACAGCTAGACAGAGAAATGTTCTTTTTATTCGTTCAAAGTCTTTTAAATTTAGTTTTTCAAACTACAGTAAATTTTTGATGAAACATTTCTGAAAAGAAAATGAAATGAGTCCCAGAGAGATTAGTCTGTCTTATGGTGTTTGCTCTTGCTTTGTGTTTGTTAACCTTGACTCCCAGGCTAGCATACAAAATCCCTGTGGACAGGAGTGACATCTTGTACTTTTTTAGTAGTGCTCGCAGCACCTGCCTCATGTTAATTAATATCTTCATATTTCTGAAATTTTCATTACATCTCGTAAGAGCTAATAAAGTTCCCCAAAGCGTTTTAATGGAAAAATTTAAATAGATAATATACTTTATAGTTAACCCCTGATAATGACTTTCTTCCTCCTCAGGCTGACACTTGTCAATGCTTTTGCAATACAATTTTAAAACCTTTTCTAACTGAGCATGGCACAACTGAATTCAAGGTGTAACAGTCAGAAATCAAGCAGGCTTGGATAAAATAGGGCAGTAGTTAAACAATCAACACTAAACTCACTTGCATATTTGTTGTGAGCCTGGGCTTTGGAGTCAGAGTGCCTGGGTTTGCTTCTACCACTTACTGGCTGTGTGATTTGGGCAAATTATGGAAACACTATGCCTTTACTTACCTCATTTATAAAATGGAGATATGGTAATCCCCATCCCATGGGTCATGTGAGGATGCAGTGAGTCAGTGTGAAGTGCTCAGAACATCACTGCTGTGGTTGTGAGCCTCATGACCATTCCTGGCTCCTCGGCCTACCTTGCTTGGTACCTCACTCTCCATATTCTTTTGGACCCAAGCCAACTTCCCATCTGACCACTCAGGCTATCTTTATTGAATCCATGTGCTTAGTTCTATTCCCAACTGTCCCAACTTCTCAGGGATAAGCGTTACCCTATAACACCTTGCATACTCAGGACTGGATTCTGTAGGAGATAATACACCCATGTTGAAATTTCC